GTCTGTGCCTTCATCTTCACACAGGGTTCTCCCTGTATCTGTGTCTATTTCCAGATCTCCCTTTTTATAAGAACACCAGCCATATTGGACTAGGGTTCACTCTAATGACCTCATCTTAACTAATTATATCTGCAGTAACCCTACATCCACATAAGGTTACATCCTGAGGAACTGGGAGTCAGGACTCCAACATATGAAACTAAGGGGGACACAGTGCAACCCGTAACAACCACGTATCTCATTATAACTCCAGACTTCATTTCCACCACATTTTCACAATTATTTGCTGCTTTTCCTTGCTAGACATTTACATTTCCTTGCCCCACTGACATGAGGCTTAGCCATGAAATTGCTCTGCCCAATAAAATATGAAAAGAAGTGATGTGTGCACATCCAAACAGAACCTTTTAAGAGCTTTTCCTTCTGCCTTCAAACAGGCAGTGCTCCAGATGGAGGCTGTTTCATCAGCCTATGTCTCAGAATGACAGTGACACAGACCAGGGCAGCAGCTGAACCTTAGTGGATATGCAGTATCAACAAGGAAACCTTTATGATTCTAGGTGACCAAGACTTTGGGGTCATTTATCACTGAAGTATAAATTAACTTTAGCTGACTGACACAGCTAACTGATACCATAACTTCACCCCTGTAAAGTGAGTGAGGTGTTTTATTTTTAATTGATTCATCAGATAGTTATTGAAAACTTGCTATGTGCTAGGCATAGAACTATACGTTGGACACTGTGATGGTGTCACCTTGGCTATGCCATTGTACCCAGATATTTGCCAAACACCAGTCCAGATATTTCTGTGAAGGTATATTTTAGATGAGATTAACATTTAAATCAGTAGACTTTCAGTAAAGCCAAGTACCGTCCGTAATATGGGTGGGCTTCATTCAGTCGAAGACCTTAAGAGGAAAAGACTGAGGTCCTCGAGGAAGAGGGAGTTACTTCTGACTCCTGCAGCATCAGTTCTTCCCTGAGTCTCCAGCCTGCTCTGCGGATTTCAGATTTGCCAACCCCCACAAACACATAAGCCAGTTCCTTAAAATAAATCTCTCACCCGTTCTATTGGTGCCATTTCTCTGGAGAACCCTGACTAACGTAGACAGACATCAGTGAACAAGCTATGCTTCAGTCTAAGGGAAGATACAGACAGTAGATTCTTGGATATGTTTCATTCCACATAATTTCATTATAATGTTGGTAAGGAAAAAAATTGATTTCAGGCCAGGACCACTGTCAATGTGGAGTTTGCACATTTCTTCCCATATCTGCATGGGTGTTCTCTGGGCACTCCAGTTTCCTCCCACATCCCAAAGCTGTGTCCATGAGGTGAATTGGCATGTCTAAATGGTCCCAGTCTGAGTGTGTGTGGATGGGTGCAAGTGCACCCCGCAATAGGATGGCATCCTGTCCAGGGTTGGTTCTCAGGGTAGGTTCCAGCCACTGCAATCCTGAACTGGTATAATTGGGCAAATAATTATCTTACTTTTTGTTAGTCTTTCTTAAATGTATATATAGCCCACATTTATTTCAAAGTTTCATATTAGAAGTGTTTCAGGCCGGGCACGGTGGCTCACGCCTGTAATCCCAGCACTTTGGGAGGCCGAGGCGGGTGGATCACTGAAGGTGAGGTCAAGAGATCAAGACCGGGCCGGGCGCGGTGGCTCAAGCCTGTAATCCCAGCACTTTGGGAGGCCGAGGCGGGTGGATCACGAGGTCGAGAGATCGAGACCATCCTGGTCAACATGGTGAAACCCCGTCTCTACTAAAAATACAAAAAAACTAGCTGGGCGTGGTGGCGCGTGCCTGTAATCCCAGCTACTTAGGAGGCTGAGGCAGGAGAATTGCCTGAGCCCAGGAGGCGGAGGTTGCGGTGAGCCGAGATCGCGCCATTGCACTCCAGCCTGGGTAACAAGAGCGAAACTCCGTCTCAAAAAAAAAAAAAAAAAAAAAAAAAAAGAGATCAAGACCATCCTGGCTAACATAGTGAAACCCCGTCTCTACTAAAATATAAAAAATTAGCTGGGTGTGGTGGCGCGCGTCTGTAGTCCCAGCTACTTGGAAGGCTGAGGCAGGAGAATTGCTTGAACCCGGAAGGCGGAGGTTGCAGCGAGTGGAGATCGTAGCACTGCACTCCAGCCTGGCGCCTGGTGACAAAACAAGACTCTGAAAAAAAAAGAAGTGTTTCAGTCTTTATTTAGAAGTGTAGTAATGTGTTTGTGGCCAGAAATATGCCGAAGGAACTGAACTCTTATTTATCTCAATTAGCCTATGGTAAAATTGGTCATGCTGTATATCATTTTGGTTAAGGCTACAGTTTCCAAGAACCTATATGACACTTTTAAGTGATGATTTGCTATACTGCATTTAATGGAAACACATAGGAGAAGCACCTGACCCTGACTAGTGGAACCAAAGAAGGCTTTCGGGAGGGAATGAAGTTGAATTTGAGAAGTGCACATGCCAGGTGGAGTAGGAATTAGCCAAGTGCAAGGATGGGGTGGTGGGGACCAGTGATTGGACTGAGTAGAGAACATACCTTCTCAACAAAGATATGAGCTCCCCCAGGAGAAGAAAATGGGTGCTTGGCAGACAAGATAAATCTTAACTATATCACACTTTTGTCACCAACGAAGCTCAATTCTATCTGACAGAATCGTATTCCCCTTTATATTTGATTGAGGGGAAGGGAGATGACTAGGAAAAATGCCTAAGAAGCCTTCTTAGGTGGACAATGATAAAAAAGACGTTGAGAAACATTGGTATAAAAAGAGTGTTTGGGCAGAGGAAAGATCACACATAAAACTACTGAAATGAGAGAGAACACGGACTATTTGAAACATTAGAATAGGTGTGGCATAGAATTGGTAGGGAAGAGGAAACAGGAAGAACAATGAGAGAAGAGGCCAGTCTAGAAACAAATTTTAAAGAAAGTTAAACCTGAAAGTACATTCCAACCTCAATTATCTAATTAATTTTAAGTAAAGTTGGACTTGGTGTCTAAATTGTCTACAACACATCATACTCTTTTATGTACGAATCATCTTTTGTGTTTGTGGTCACTACTGAATGAATTAAGCTTTAGACATTGTTTCAGAGATAGAAAAGAGCATTTGTTAAGATATATGTTTCCCCAGGCGCGGTGGCTCAAGCCTGTAATCCCAGCACTTTGGGAGGCCGAGGCGTGTGGATCACGAGGTCAAGAGATCGAGACCATCCTAGTCAACATGGTGAAACCCCGTCTCTATTAAAAATACAAAAAATTAGCTGGGCATGGTGGCGAATACCTGTAATCCCAGCTACTCAGGAGGCTGAGGCAGGAGAATTGCCTGAACCTAGCAGGCGGAGGTTGTAGTGAGCCAAGATCACACCATTGCACTCCAGCCTGGGTAACAAGAGTGAAACTCCGTCTCAAAAAAAAAAAAAGATATATGTTTCTGCCTATCATGCTGGAACTTGGTAGTTCTACAGTTCTTGTCTCTAGAATGGCATCATGTTGAGATGGGTAATTATAATGCTATTCCAGCAAGCGTTTTAACCTCTGGGGAATTTTCATGTGATTTACTTCATTGGAGTTTCAAAGATTAAAAATATGAGACTAAAAAGGGTATTTTTCTTGGTCCCATTATTTAGAATAGAATGAGAACAATGGTCTATTTAATAACCATTATCATTATCTTCTTCCCAGATTGAATTAAAATTACATTAATATCCTATTAGAAAATTCTTTGCAAAAATGCTGTCAGTCATTTTTTTATTTCTACCAGCAATGAACTCAAAGCTAATTCAATACTTTTGAGAGATAGTATAAAACTTAATTTTAGAATCTGAAGAACTAAAAAATTGTATGCTATGTGATAATTATTAACTCCTAGTTTTCTACCATAGCCTTAGCTTAGACGTTCTTATTACATAGAAGACGATGTAAAATTATATAATAGTTCTAAGTATGGATTCTGGAGTCAGACTGTCTGGGTTCAGATCCTGAGTTGAACCTGTTTGGGTTTAAATGTTAATAGCTTTTATAAACTTGAGCAGACGTAAAAGTTGTGGGATCTTAACCTCTCTGTTCCTCTGTACCTCATAGTTCTAACTATGTAACAGAATTGCTACATAGGGTTTTTGTAAATATATGTTAATAATGAGTTAATTATGTAAAGCACTTAGAACAGTACCTAGCACATACTCAGTACTCAATAATGCTAGCGGTAATTATGGAACTCCCTTACGGAGTAGCTTTAAAACCATTAGTTGAGTCTTTCCTATATGCCATACAAGGAACTTAATTGTGAAACTCAGTACATCTTACCTGAAATGATCTTCAGAGTGTGGCTTAAGATTTTTTTTAACTGACTTTTTTTTTTTGCATTATTATTGTTTTCTTTACTACCACAAGCCTTCAGACTGATTAGCTTTCTAGGCTGGGATGATACTTTTTGTCCTTAGGTGAGATGAACATCTAAAGTTCATTTTAAAAAGCACTTACAGCCAAGCATGGTAGCTTACACCTGTAATCCCAATGAGAGACCAAGGTAGGAAGATCACATGAAGCCAAGAGTTTGAGACCAGCCTGGGCAACACCACAAGACCCTGTCTCTATAAAAAATACTAACAAACAACAACCACAACAACAAAATAGCTGGGTACAGTGGAATATGCCTGTATCCCAGCTACTCAGGAGACTGAGGCAGGAGGATTGCTTATGCCTGGGCGGTTGAGGCTGCGGTAACCCAGGATTGCACCACTGCATTCCAGCCTGGGCAAGGCAGCCGTATCTCAAAAAAAAAAAAAAAAAAAAAAAGGGGCATTCCTTCAGTAGTGGGTAGGAGATGAATTTCTCTTCAGAATTTTGTGTTGGAGTCTAAGATTTATCTTTTAGGACTACCATTTACAATGTAACAGTAGGGAAAAGGAAGAGTGACCCATGATTTAGCAGCATTTTAAAATTTTGACTAAAGCAATTAAATTCCTTTCAATATTTATGTATTTCAGAAAATGTCACTGAAATTCACAAATGCAAAACGAATTGAAGGACTTGACAAAAATATGTGGTGAGTATCGTAGAACAAACAATAATAATTTAGTGAGGTTTTCCTACATATTTTTATATCTTTAGATGAGAGGTTTTTTTTTTTTTTGCCTCATCCACGATCTATAAATAAATGTGCTTATTTAATTCATCCATTAAATGAAAATGGAGGGAAGTTAGCAATCCGTACACTGAGCGTTCATTTAGCGCACATGGTGGACACTGGACATACGGCAGAGAAAAGGACAAATGTTGATGCCCTCATGGAACTTACCTTCCAGTCCAGGAACTTTTCTTATTAGTTCTGTTCTCTAATAGTTGATAAGAGAACTTAGCAGCAGCTGGAATTGTTGAGAAAAAATATATATATGGTTAAAATGTGGCTAGCAGGAAATTGAGTTTGTAAGGGTTCATAAATTCAGCTGTCATTCTGTTTGGTAAACTCATTTTTGTGGGTGGTAAATATTTGTTGGAAACTCACTTTTTTTAAACCTATAGGACTAAACTAGGTCTTATTTTTCAGTTTTGTGATAAGCCTATAAGATGTAAAAAGCAAACTTTATAATTGTAGTACTTACTAATTTTTTTTTCAATTTTAGGATTGAATTTACCAAATTGGCTGCAGACCCTTCTGTTGTGAATCTTGGCCAAGGCTTTCCAGATATATCCCCTCCTATATATGTAAAAGAAGGATTATCAAAGATTGCAGCAATTGATAGCCTGAATCAGTATACACGAGGCTTTGTAAGTATATCAGGACCATATAGGGCATGAGCTTTTATTTTGGGTGTGTGTGTGTGTGTGCTTTTTTTACATTTACATGTAAGTGACTTTCTGGGACCAGTAGTCCCATCCCAGCAATGACAGGAACTCCTGCCCTTGCCCTATGTCCTGAGATGAGCCTTCCCCTACTTTCAGCTCCTCTACACTTTTCTTTTGGCCCCTAACTTTCTGTTGCTCCAAGATGGGATCCTGTGGCAACAACAAGGTAAGGAACAATATTCTCTTGAGACATATCTTTTCTATCTCATCCACATTCATGCAGCCTTAGCACTGACCTCTTATTTAATATACTCTATATCCAGCTAGTTACCTTTTTCCTCCCTGTCCCAGCTTACTCCCATCCTTCTGTAATGAAATGCCTATGACAGCCAAAGATTTTCCAGATCAGATGTACCTTTGAACTGTAGACTTGTATCTGTTGTGTCAAAAGCTATATGATTGTCATATGCCTGACCACTTGTCTTTTCCTTTTATGATATTGTGGGAAATAGAGAGGGGAATAGTATAGGAGGAAGCCTGTTTTTTGTCTTTTATAGTGATGTAACTACAAAAATCCATACAAGGGCTTGGCTTTGGGAATCCCACAGGGAAAAAGCAACCTGTGTCACAGGGTTTGACACTGGTGAGAATCCCTGCTCTTCTAGACTCTCACTTCCTGGCCCACCCTACAGACCCCTATTTCATACCTACTCAACATAACCCACTCCCTGGCCTATACAAATCCATAATGAAAGGCTAGAAATAAATCAACAATAGAGAAAATTAATGATACCAAAAGCTGGTTCTTTGAAAAGATCAGTAAGTAAAAGTTTTAGCTAGATTGATCAAAAAAAAAGAGAAAACTCAAAATGCCATATGAGAAATCAAAGAAGGAATATCATTACTGATCATACAGACATGAAAGCAATAATAAGATAAAGTTATGAATAATTTTATGTCAGTTAATTGACAACTTGGATAAAATGAATAGATTATTTAAAAGATACAAATTACCAAAACTGACACAAGGAGAAATGAGAAATGCAGCTAGCCCTATGTTAGTGAAAGAAAATGAATTTGTAGTTAAAGTCTTCTTATAAGCAAACCTCGATGAATTACTGGTGAGGTCTATCATGCATTTAAGGAAGAACTATTAGGTTGGTGCAAAAGTAATTGCAGTTCGCCACTACTTTTTTTTTTTTTTTCCTACAGAGTCTCTATGTGTTGCCCAGGCTGGAGTTCAGTGGCACGGTCTCCGCTCACTGTAACCTCCAACTCCCTGGTTCAAGCGATTCTCCTGCCTCAGACTCTCAAGTAGCTGGGACTACAGGCACCCACCACCACACCTGGCTAATTTTTGTATTTTCAGTAGAGACAGGGTTTCACTATGTTGGCCAGACTAGTCTTGAACTCCTGACTTCATGATCCACCTGCCTTGGCCTCCCCAAGTGCTGGGATTACAGGCTTGAGCCACCGCACCTGGCCTGCCATTACTTTTAATGAAAAAAAAAAAAAAAAAACACTATTACTTTTGCACCAGCCTAATAATACCAGTTCTGCACACACTCATCCAGAAAATGGAGCAAGATAAAAAACTTTTACTTATTGATCAACAATTTTTTTAACTTGAAATGTAAAGAAATGCCTAATGGTTTTGTCTGACCTTTTAATCAGGGGTTTTCTATCAGGGTAATGATGGTCTCATAAAATTAATTTCAGCACTATCACCAGACTATGACATTAGTCACCTCAGGGGGGATGGGAATGAAATAATATTGAGAAACAATTCTAACTTTTTTACACATCTTTGCCTAGTTTTACGTATTACATGAAGCATAAATTATTTTTGTATTTAAAATTTTTATTTTAAAAGCACAATCATTCTAAGAAATGTGTATAGCGTTTATAGTTGCTTTTCAGATCTCCTTTTGGTAGAATTTGTTAGACCTGCTATTAAAGTAAAATTCAAAGGGACTCAGTTTATTGCTCCAGAGCCCAAGATGCTTTCAAACAAAAGCACATGACCTGCACTTGCACTCTTACTCTCAAGGGATACAAAATCAGGGTAGTACCTCAAAAGCAAAAGGGGGAGGTAGATGCAGGACAGAAAAGAACAAAAAATGTTGACTTAAATACCAAATAAAACAAGGGGAAAAGGGAAAGGAAGAAAGAAAAGGAGGGAAGGGGAGAGAACCTGGAAGAACTGAGGGAGAGGTAATCCAGGAGCCGTCAGACCCCCTACTTGCCTCAGACTGTACCTTCATAAACCCTTCACTTCTCTTATGAAAGTAGTACCTTGGATAACCACCACTCTCTTGACCATTAATGTGAGTAGTGTCTCACTTCTGCCTAACATTTGCAATCACATCAACACTGGTGTTCATGTCTTTGGTGAATTTGTTTTTGTTCTCTCTCTTTAGTCCATTGGTTGGCATAACCTTCTTTCCAGCAATCGGAAGAACCAAGGAGAGGGTATACAGTTAGTATGGGTTTTTTTTTACTTATTTTAACTGGGAAACAAATCCAACTGTTTTGAATACGATTTAATTGCTGTCAAAAAATACTAAGAGTTCATCTTTATTCAGAGCAAATACTTTGAAATTATATAGTCCCAAACCCTTTATTTAGTAAGAAGGTTTAATCATTAGCAAGCCTCCATGACCATTAGTGTGGGAATCCTCTAAATGTAGGAAATTTTTAAAAATGTATTGCCATTAAAAAATGTAAATTTTCCTTGGGTAATTATAAACATCAAATCCAAATTTTAAAAATTATTATATTTTAGAGTCATATTACCTCAAACAGTAGGTCCCATATTTAAATTCAAGGTTTTGTTCTTACTTTTAATCCAACAGGGCCATCCATCACTTGTGAAAGCCCTGTCCTACCTGTATGAAAAGCTTTATCAAAAGCAAATTGATTCAAATAAAGAAGTCCTTGTGACAGTAGGAGCATATGGATCTCTTTTTAACGCCATTCAAGCATTAATTGATGAGGGAGATGAAGTAAGTATATTAACATTAGCATAATACCTATATTAATCAACTATCATTTTTCCCACCTTTGAATCTTTTACTTATATTATGCTCTTTTCTTTTTTATTTTTAATTCTGTTTTAAGTATAATGCATGTACCATAAAGTTCACAAATCTTAAATGTACAGCTGGATAAATTTCTGTGTAACTACAACCAGATGAAGATATAATACATTTTCAGTACCCAGAAAGCTCCTTTGTTCTTCTTCCTAGTCTATATTCTCCCAGAGGTAACTACTCTTCTGTCTTCTATTACCATAGGTTTGTTTTGACTGTTCTTTTACTTGATATGAATAGAATTATGCAGTGTATACTCTTGGGTCTGGATCCATTTATTTTTGTGTCTGTGATATTCATCAATTTTGTTGCATATAATTTATTCTTATTTTTATAGCCTTTTTAAATAAGGGCAGATGGAAGGGACTACCACTGCTGGGGAAAAAGAATCTTTTGTTTTCATTGCTAAAATAACCTTTAATTGGAACTTGGTCTGCAAGTTTTTGATCAACGTGTTTTTGTGCCCAGAAATTGCATAAGCTCTCCCATGTGAGGATGGTGGGGTTTTTTGTTGTTGTTGTTTTGTTTTTTGTTTGTTTGTTTGTTTGTTTTGTTTTGTTTTTGAGATGAAGTCCCCCTCTGTTGCCCAGGCTGGAGTGCAGTGGGGTCATCTTGGCTCACTATAACCTCTGCCTCATGGGTTCAAGTGATTCTCCTGTCTCAGCCTACTACTGAGTAGCTGGGATTATAGGCACCCACCACCATTCACAGCTAATTTTTGTATTTTTAGTAGAGAAGGGATTTCGCGATGTTGGCCAGGCTGGTCTCGAACTCCTGACCTAAGGTGATCCACCTGCCTCAGCTTCCCAAAGTGCTGGGATCACAGGCATGAGTCACTGCGACAGGCTAAGGATGTGTTAATGTAACAGGAAGGTTAAATGATTTCTGCTATTTAGTACTGTGATTTATGACCAACTTTTGCAACTACCTCACTCATCTCTACCCCTATTTTCCATTATAATTCCAGTGCCCTTGCTTTAATACTTTTTGACTCTTTCATTTGTTCAGAAAATACTGAGGATCCAGTATAGGCTAAGCACTGTGAGACAGAAGATTTCTTAAAGATAGGTCTTATGCAGTAAGAGTTCCCTGTCTAGTAGAAAACAGAGTTGCAAATGGATTAAAAGGAACATCGTGTGTTAGCCAATAGCAGAGAATGTGTAATTTATGGTAATAACCAACGGAAGAGGCAGTCACCTCTGCTAAGTCTGGAAAACTCCAGAGAGACATTGCTTAAGCTGGGTCTGAAGAATGAATATTTATCCTGATCTATATTGTTAACTCTCTTTGAACTGTCATAGCCCTTTACCATACCACTTTTATGAAAGATGCTGCTATCTGCTTTGTATTATGTTATTCTTTTACACCTTTGATTTCCCTCCACTGTGCCAGGACAAGGTATTTAAGGAAACATATCAAGGAAGTTCACAGTTTCATATACATAATCTCCTTTAATCCTATAACATAGTTTTGCCTCATACTTTGATGTTGTTAATCCTTTGTTGCTTCTTTCTCTCCACTCTTTTTTTTTTTTTGAGACAGAGTTTCGCTCTTATTACCCAGGCTGGAGTGCAATGGCGCGATCTCGGCTCACCGCAACCTCTGCCTCCTGGGTTCAGGCAATTCTCCTGCCTCAGCCTCCTGAGTAGCTGGGATTACAGGCACGAGCCACCATGCCCAGCTGATTTTTTGTATTTTTAGTAGAGACGGGGTTTCACCATGTTGACCAGGATGGTCTCGATCTCTCGACCTCGTGATCCACCCGCCTCGGCCTCCCAAAGTGCTGGGATTACAGGCTTGAGCCACTGCGCCCGGCCTTTCTCTCCACTCTTTTGGAGTATCCCGAGGCTTAGCCCTTAGCCTTCTTTCCTCTATTCTTTATTCCTTAGTCAACTTATCTAATATTTTGAAATCACATACATGTCACTTGCTATCATACTGACCTATTTATTGTTTCTTTATAGCATTTATTACTGTCTGAAATTATCTAATATCCTTATTTGTTTCTCCATTCATTATAAGCCTTTCTCAGTAGAATGTAAGTTCCAGGAGAACTTTATAACTTTACTGCCAGCACCTAAAATAGTGAGGAATCAATAAGTACTCTCAAAAAAAGAGAGAGAGGAATTGTTCACATCATAAAAGTAGAAAAATCAAGATGAAGAGTAGGAGGTGTATTCCTCCCACCCTACTGCCCTGCCTCTCCAATTTATTTTCCTTTGTTGAGCTCTCACTTTGTATCGAGCATTATATTTCCCACTAGAGTTACAAAGATAGGTCATCTTAGTCCCTGAGAACTTCACAGATGAGGCTGGGTACAGTGGCTCAGGCCTGTAATCCCAGAACTTTGGGAGGCCAAGGCAGGCAGATCACTTGAGATCAGGAGTTGGAGACCAGCCTGGCCAACATGGCAAGACTGTCTCTACTGAAAATACAAAATCTAACAGAGCTTTTGAGAAGAGAGAAACATCTTTACTCTCAGGATAGTGCTTTTAAATTATCACTTTATACCAGGGAAGATTACAGTGTTCTCTTTCCACATAGGCTGCTGTCTGTCACTGCCTATATATCACTCATATTCTAGATGTTATTTTCTAATTTGAAATATGAAGAAATGCTTAATAGTTTTGGCTGGAATATCCCTTTGAGAATGTGATAGCCCCACACTCCCAGTAAATCTACCTGTGTGCTAAGAAATGTTATATGTAATTTCAAATGCTCCCACTGCATGCTTATTTATAGATCTCCCTAAGATACCAAGGACTGTAGTCAAGACTACCTGGAAAAGTTTATCTCCGAGGTCTCTTCCCCTCAGATGTTGGCTCCACAAGGGCAAAGCCTGGCTTTTTTACTGCTGGATCTCAACACATAATATAGTGCCTAGCCCACACACTATTAATAACATGAATAAATAATTGATAGGTTATGATCTTATCTGCTTTCATTGCAGGTCATAATAATAGTGCCTTTCTATGACTGCTATGAGCCCATGGTGAGAATGGCTGGAGCAACACCTGTTTTTATTCCTTTGAGATCTGTAAGTTTGCCAGTATGGGTCATATGGCAAAGTTTCAAGACTTAAGACGTCTGGAAAATACCAATTACTTTGTCACTGATAAAGTTACTATTTTGATTGCATTCAGAGATTTACTGAATATCTTTGTCTAGTTGTCTTTTTAAATATTTTCAAAATAAGTAATACACTAAGGAGAACCACAAAATCTTCAGCTAGCCTTACAGTATCAGACATGTTAACCATAGTTACAGCTGGCTCCTGTGAAGGAATAATTACAGCAGTTAATGTTGACAGGGCTTGTTTTTCCATTTAACAGGTGTGAGCATAAGACTTAGGTCTTTTTGGGCTCTTGAGGCAGAACCACAGCCTAGTTATTTCTGTTTATTTTCTTTGTTAGTTTTTTCTACTTTTTTTTTTTTGTTCCTACTCTAAGGAAGCATTTGTTGGTAATTTATCCAGTTACCTTTGCCATGACTTTCTTTGATTTTTTTTTCCTTATTAGTTTATTCATTTGTAAGACAGTAAACATGACAGTTAAATCATATCTTCATTCTTCATGCTTAGAAACCTGTTGATGGAAAAAAATGGTGTAGTTCTGACTGGACATTAGATCCTCAAGAATTGGAAAGTAAATTTAATTCCAAAACAAAAGCTATTATACTAAATACTCCACATAACCCACTGGGCAAGGTAAGCAAGTCTCTTATCTCCTTATACAGTCTTCTGACCTATCATTTTCTCACATGTTGAATAATTAGCTGTGTTCTTTCCTTTATTATGTGTAGGTATATAACAAAGAGGAACTCCAAGTAATTGCTGACCTTTGCATCAAATATGACACACTCTGCATCAGCGATGAGGTTTATGAATGGCTTGTATATTCTGGAAATAAGCACTTAAAAATAGGTACTGACTATAATATAGAGTCACAAATCTCAATGTGTTTGGGCACATATGGAAGAACTGATTGGAAAGGATCCCAGACCAACTCTAAAATGACACTTAAAAATAGTATTTGAATGAGCAGTACTTTTCGTGAATTGATGAATAACTCAAAGGACAAAGAGTCAGAGATTTTGGATCATACTCTAAAGCTATGATACCAAAGAAGTCATTCTTTTGCCCAAATCTCTGACTTCTTAGCAGAAATCCAACAATTACTTGTACATAAGACACAGGGAGTTTACTTGTACCTGAAGAGGTTCTAGATGGTCTGTGCTGAACAAGTTACCAAAATGCCAAGTCAACAGAAAGAAATACAGAGGTAGTAAGGTATGCTGCTTGGCCCTTGCTTGAGATTCGGCCGTTACTACTGGACTATCTCACAAATGCCATAGTGTCTGCTGAGGTAGTACAAACCATGTCAATTAGAGGATTACAAACTGTGCTGCAACCTTTGGGTCTTTGCACCTCCCTTTCCTTTGCCTGGAAACACTTTTCCAAATAATCCATCTGACTCAGTCCTTCAGCTCCTTCAGGCCTTTGTCCTAATGTCAGTTTCCATGACCATCACACTGAAGATAGTTACACCTCTCCCTCCAGCTTTTGCTTTGTCCTTTTTCTGTTTTGTTTTTTTTCCTCTATAGTAAATATCAGAATCTATATATTTTACTTCTACACTGCAGTAATGTAGGGATTTTGTTTGTTAGTCTCTTCTGTATCCCCAGTTTCCATAGAATCTTGTACGTGATAGAGAATTAGAAAGAAATTGTTGAATAAATGAAGAGGAAAGATGAAAAAATTAAGGGAAGAATGACTTAAAAATGTGGCAGGAATAGGTAAATTTTAAAATTTAGGCTAGGTGCAGTGGCTCATGCCTGTAATCCCAGCACTTTGAAAGGCTAAAGCAGGTGGATTGCTTGAGTCCAGAAGTTCTAAACCAGCCTGGGCAACAGAGAAACCCCATCTTTACAAAAAATTTTTTAAAATTTGCCAGATGCATGGTCACAGCTACTTGGGAGACTGAGGTGGGAGGATCACTTGAGCCCAGGCACCACTGGCTCACTACAGCCTCCATCTCCTGAACTCAAGTGATCCTTCCACCTCAGCCTCCCAAGTAGCTGGGACTACAGGCACAGACCACCAAACCTGGCTAAATTTTTTTAAGAAAAATTAAAATAAGAAATGTAGTATGCTTATAATATATTAAATTGTTGCATTGTTGCATGTGTCATAATTTTTCCTATAGTATATTACAAATTGCTATAGAGATGGGAAGAGAAAGCAGCTGTTTGAGGGAAATTTAAAAAGGAGTGGCTAAAAGATGGAGAATTAGCTAAACAGAGAAACAGAAATTAAATTCCTAAAAGCTAAACTAGCATGTACTTAGGCAAGGGGGTATGAAACATCAAGATACACTTAAAGAAGGTAAATGATTATTGAAATTTTTTTAAAAAAGAAGAAAGCTCAGTTATTTAAATTTTTTTTTAAGAGACAGAGTCTTGCTGTGTCACCCAGGTTGGAGTGCAATGGCACATAGCTCACTGTAACCTCAAACTTTTGGGCTCAAGCAATCCTTCTGCCTCAGCCTCCCAAGTAGCTATGACTGCAAGTGTGCACCACCTCATCTGGCTAACTTATTTATTTATTTATTTATTTTATTTTTTTAAATTTAGGTTCTGGGGTACATGTGCAGATCATGCAGGATTGTTGCATAGGTACATACATGGCAAGGTGGTTTGCTGCCTTCATCCCCCCATCACCTATATCTGGTATTTCTCCCCTCATTATCCCTCCTCACCCAGCTGTTTCTTACCAACACCCACCCCTACTAAACACAGTATATGATGCTCCCCTCCCTGTGTCCACATGTTTTAATGTTCAACACTCGCCTGTGAGTGATAACATACGGTGTTTGGTTTTCTGTTCTTTTCTCAGTTTGCTGACAATGATGGTTTCCAGATTCATCCATGTCCCTATGAAGAACACAAACTCATCATTTCTTATGGCTGTGTAGTATTCCATGGTGTATATGTGCCACATTTTCTTTATCCAGTCTATTGATGATGGACATTTGGGTTGGTTCCAGGTCTTTGCTATTGTAAACAGTGCCACAATGAGCATACGTGTGCATGTGTCTTTATAATAGAACAATTTATAGTTCTTTGGGTATATACTCAGTAATGGGATTGCTGGGTCAAATGGTATTTCTATTTTTAGGTCCTTGAGGAATCGCCACACTGTCTTCCACAATGGCTGAACTAATTTACATTCCCACCAACAGTGTAAAAGTGTTCCTATTTCTCCACATCCTCTCCAGCATCTGCTGTCTCCAAATTTCTTAATGATCACCATTCTAACTAGTGTGAGATGGTATCTCAATATGGTTTTGATTTGCATTTCTCTAATGAACAGTGATGATGAGCATTTTTTCATATGTTTGTTGGCCTCACAGATGTCTTATTTTGTAAAATGTCTGTTCATATCCTTCACCCACTTTTGAATGGGTTTATTTTTTTCTTGTAAATCTGTTCTAGTTCTTTGTAGATTCTGGATATTAGCCCTGTGTTGATTCTGGATATTAGCCCTTTGTCACATGGGTAGATTGCAAAAATGTTTTCCCACTCTGTTGGTTGCTGGTTCACTCTAATGATTGTTTCCTTTGCTGTACAGAAGTTCTGGAGTTTAATTAGATCCCATTTGTCCATTTTGGCTTTTGTTGCCATTGCTTTTGGTGTTGTAGCAATGAAGTCCTTTCCTATGCCCGTGTCCTGAATGGTTTTGCCTAGGTTTCCTTCTAGGGTTTTTATGGTGTTAGGTCTTAATGTTTAGATCTTTACTCCATCTGGAGTTAATTTTAGCGTAAGGTGTCAGGAAGGGGTCCAGTTTCTGCTTTTTGCAAATGGCTAGCCAGTTTTCCCAACATCATTTATTAAACAGAGAATCCTTTCCCCATTGCTTGTTTTTCTCAGCTTTGTCAAAGATCAGATGATTGTAGCTGTGTGGTGTTGCTTCTGAGGCCTCTGTTCTGTTCCATTGATCTATGTCTCTGTTTTGGTACCAGTACCATGCTGTTTTGATTACTGTAGCCTTGTAGCATAGTTTGAAGTGAGGCAGTGTGATGCCTCCAGCTTTGTTCTTTTTGCTTAGGATTATTTTGGCTATGTGCGCTCTCTTTTGGTTCTATATGAAGTTTGAAGTCGTTGTTTCCAGTTCTGTGAAGAAGGTCATTGGTAGCTTGATGGGGATAGCATTGAATCTATAAATTACTTTGGACATTTTCACAATGTCGATTCTTCCCAACCATGAGCATGGGATTTTTTTTCCCTCTGTTTGTGTCCTCTCTTATTTCATTGAGCAGTGGTTTATAATTCTTAATTTATTTTTAATTTTTGTAGAGATAGCATCTCACTATGTTGCTAGGACTGTCCTCAAACTCCTGGACTCAAGCAATCCTCCTACCCTGGCCTCCCAAAGGGCTCTGATTACAGGAATAAGCCATCACATCAAGCCTCAGTTTGATTTATGAGGGTGTATTGTAGTAACTGGCATAGATCAGAGTGTAAAAGTAGGGTGATTCTAAAGGACTTTGAATATGAGATAAAGAGTATAAACTTTGTTGAGGAGGTCAGTGGTTCTGAAACTTACTTTAGTGAGAGATCACCACGAGATCACAGCATTCCATATCATGAAATAGCGATATGGTGAATTCCATCCTGAACATAGTAGCAATTTTCCTAATAGAAATTCAACAATTAGAAGCCAATATAAAAAAATCACAGTTCTGTCCATACTTGTCCATAACAAAAAGCTGTTGAAATAAACACATTTGAGGTTTTCTGATTTTGCCATTAACATGCGTTTACTAAATGCTCATTTGTTTCACTGTCGGAGTGTCCACTATCAGATAAGTGGTAGCATTTGCTAAAGGCTTAAGAAAATTGTCTGGAAGAAAAACTTAAAATTGATTTTTAAAAATTCTGCATATTAATTTGATCACCAGAATGCCAGTGAACTTACTTTGAGAACTATTGCAAAAGCTGCAACAAAACAGGAGAATTGGTTCCATTACTAAATTTTTTTTTTTAACAAAGATAAGAGCCAGCCGCAGATGAGAGTCTTAAATCAGACGACCGAGCACTTGAGATGGAATGTGGGGGCTATTTAGAAACTATAGAGTATAGCATTTGAAGGTGGGAAGCAAGCAAGCAAACAAACATGATGCTAAGATCTCTAGCCTGAACTACTCAGCAGTGATGAGGACTTTAACCAAAGTAAATGTGGAGAGGAGGAGCAGATTTGCAGGGAAAGGCTGAGCAAAGGGACTTGCTGCTTCTCATGCTTTAAACTTCCTGCATTTGGGTATCTACGGGACATAGAGGAATAAAATATATCTGGGGACAAGTACAATTATAGGCCCAATGATCAGAATCAGATTATAATGGGATATATTTTTGGCAGTCATCAAAATGTTGGTGGTAGCTGAACACATGGAAAAGAATGAATTTTCTCAAGGAGAATATATATAAACAGAGAAAGCAGCCAGAGATTTGCAGAATGTGGCACCTTAATACAGCAAAATGTTTTCATGTGTTAAATTGCACCAGAGTCCACCACTGCCCATCTTGTTAGTGACCAGAGTCCACCGTTGCCCATTTTGTTAGTGACTTCTGTCTCAAGTCATTTGTACTATTTCCCACTGGAAAATCAGATTAACATGAACAATTACTTTCTTATTGTAATTATAACTCAGTGTAGCAGTATGTATCCCAAAAGATAACTTCAGATGATCTTGAAATTTATTGTTTTTTGTTTGTTTTTTTTTATTTATTTTTTTGAAATTTATTGTTTAGATCTACTCACTGTAAGCCCTTCAGGGTAAAGTGTAACTGATAACATTATTTACTAAAGATATGCAAGAAGTATATTTTAAACTTAGATTTTTTTTTTTTTTAGTTGTAACAGCCCATAAAGTTTAAATAAGACCAAAAAAATGAAAGTGCAATTTGTTTGCATTAAAACTTGGATATTCTGTCAAATACAATGGTCTTTGTTACCTTAAAGATGCAAAATGGCTATTAAATCAATTTGCAAAGTTCAACAGTAGTCCTTTAATATACGAAGTATTCCTTTACTTTAAAGGAAGTGATAATCTGCATTATATATAGTTTAGATTTTCTCTGGTCAAATAGAAAAGTAGGGCATGTGTCATAGTGTTCTTTTGGAGTACTTTGGAAGACCAGAAATGTCTCAAAACTTGTAACTATTTATATCAAATATTAAAATATTCCTTCTTCAAGTGGACATTCTAAATATTTTCCTCATTTATCTTTTTGGGTTTTGTTATATTCCACAGTGAATAAAATTATAACTTTTCTGATTATATACTTTTCCTACTGTTATAAATTTAGTATTTCAGGGTAGACTGAAATTACTTATACATTGTTTTGGAAATTTCTGTAGCTGCCTTACATTTTAGTAGGTACTTTACTTGCTTATGAACAGATTACTTCAAGAAAGCACAAGCTTAGATTCCCAGAGATGAGCATTTATTTTCCCTTTGTGTGTACCAACACTCGTTAAGAACAGTACAAAAGCCCTCACTTGTACTTTTGAAAAACAAGTGGAAAAACTTGTGGGTTGCATGGAAAGAACTTCACAACTAAATTACCTGAGGAATCCAAAATGTGGGTGGCACTCTCAAAGGTTGATGAAATGGTAATTTACCAGTTATAACCAATGCCTAGCAAAATTTCCAAACTTGCATTTTAGGCCTCCAGGACTTTGTTACATGTCTTAGCCCAAAATATCTTCCTTACCCTTCTCTGCCTGGCTATGGCCCATATGGTCTTCTAAGTTTCAGCTCAAGAATTACTAGCTGCAGAAAGCCACCCTCAACACCCTCTTCTATTCTTGCATCCCCCTCCATGTCTCCTGCTATTACAGCATTTTTATCACACTGAATTATAATTGTCATTTTATGTGTCTCATGTCCCCCCTAGACATTAAATTTTTTCAAGAATTGCATCTTACTCATCTTTGTTTCCTCTAGACCTAGCTTAGTCCCTAGCACCTGGTGGTTGCTAATGAATATTTGATGTATGAATGAATGAATATCTTTATTAAAGATGTTAATCAACTTGAAAACCATTATATAGCTAATTCACATTATTCTTGAGTTCTGCATTTGCAAATTTGCCTGCTCCCTAAAATATATGTGTAACCCCAAATCAGTACTCACAGCACTTCATTTAAAGATTGGAGTCACCCTACACACATTCCCAGTTGAGATCAAACATTTTGCTTCTGTTTCAGTTCACACTGTAAGCAATTGTTCTATGTAAAGTGATTTTGCTGTTTAAAATGGCCCCCAAGCCTAGTGCTAAAGTACTGTCTAGTATTCCTAAGTGTAAGAAGGCTGTGATATTCCTTATGGAGAAAATATGTGTGTTTGATAAGCTTCATTCAGGCACAATGGCCATGCGGATATTAAAGAGTGATAGCTAAAAAGTACAGGGCTTCTTTTAGGGTGAAAAAATGTTCTGAAATTGGTTATGGTGATAGTTGCACAGGTCTATAGATATACTAAAAATCACTGAATGGTATACTTTAAATTGGCGAATTACGTGATGTGGGATTTATAACCCAATAAAGTTGTTAGCAAAACACACACACACACACACACACACACACACACAGGTGCGCACACAATTACTGGGTTCTACCCCCAAAGTTTCTGCTGTGGGTCTGGGATAAGCCCCAATGATTTGCCTTTCTTACAGGTTGCCCAGTGATGCTGATATTGCTGGTGCGAGATCACATTTTAAGAGCCATTGCTCTAGGAAGCCTGGAGAAATACACTTAGAAAATAGGCAAGATAAAGAGGCCTAAACAGTAATCAGGATCACAACCTAAGCCCTGCCACAGGATTATTATGTTGAACATGCAGTCACTGCTAACATTGAACACTGAATGCTACAGCCCCTGTGACAGCTGCCGCTTGAAGCAGTCTGGAACACTGCCTGCTGGCACCCCTGACACTCCAGCACCAGAACTAATTTTAAAATTATTTAATCTATTTACATATTATTTTGGTACAGCATTACAGTGTTGTAAACTTTTCATCTGTGTTTTGCATTAAAGTTACATTGTCTAAAAATAAAAAACTAGAAATAACTAGACTGGCTAAACCATAAGACATTTATTTTCATTGAATTTATGTGTCTTTGTTATGTTTTTAGATTATACTAAATGTAGATTAATTGGAAAGCAATTAGTTAACCTTTTTTCTTCCACTGTTTAGCTACTCTTCCAGGTATGTGGGAGAGAACAGTAACGATAGGAAGTGCTGGAAAGACTTTCAGTGTAACTGGCTGGAAGGTAAGATGAGTAAGAATTTCATTGCTTAAAAATAGGCCTGTATGGCTGGGCACGGTGGCTCACGCCCATAATCCCAGCACTTTGGGAGACCAAGGTGGGCAGATCACAATGTTAGGAGTTCGAGCCCAGCCTAAACAATGTGATGAAACCCCGTCTCTACTAAAAATACAAAAAAAATTAGCCAAGCATGGTGGTGCATGCCTGTAATCCCAGCTACTCAGGAGGCTGAGGCAGGAAAATTGCTTGAACCTGAGAGGTGGAGGTTGCACTGAGCTGAGATGGCACCACTGCACTCTAGCTTCAGCAACAGAGCAAGACTCTTATCTCAAATATATGTGTGTGTGTGTATATATATATATATATATATATATATATATATATATATAGGCCTGTATATTATTTTTTGTAGTGTTTTGTGTTTTAAATGCATGCCTATAATCCCAGCGTTTTAGGATGCTAAGGCAGGAGGATCACCTAAGACTAGGAGTTCAAGACCAACCTTGGCTACATAATGAGATCCTGTCTCTACAAATACATTTTTAAAAAATTAGCCAGGGATGGTGGTGCATGCCTGCAGTCCCAGGTACTTGGGAGGCTGATGTGAAAGGATCACTTGAGCCCAGGAAGTTGAGGCTGCAGTGAGCTACACTCCAGCCACTGGGAAACGGAGCAAGATTGTCTTTAACAAAATAATGAAATAAATAAGTAAACATATAAATGAATAATTGTATACATATTCAGTTTATAGATTTTTGTACCTGGTGATCTTTGCTTATCTTTTGACTTATTTGGCTTTCATGTTGAGTTTTATCCTTTTTGAGACCTAATTGAAAAATTAGGTCTTTTTTTCTATTATAAGTAATCAACTAATGACACCTTTTTCTTTGCAAACAAGTGTTTAAATTGCATATTAATATAAAAGGAGAAAAAATAATAGTAGCTAATATTTTGGCACTTGCTATATACCAGGTTCTAAATGTTTTACATATACTAATTTCTTTCATTCTCATAACCATACTATAAGGTGGGTATGATTAGTGTTCTTATTTTACAGATGACAAAGCTAAAGCACAGAGAAGTTAAGTGACTTGCCTGAGACTACCCCACTAATAAATTCAAGCCAGAATAAAAAGTTTGGCTCTAGGATTCATGCACTTAACCTCTGTATTATTTGCTACAATATTTATCCAGTTAAAAAACCCAATTCTCTTCCAGCCTCACCTCTCCTGAACATGGGTAACCAGCCAGGCACAGTGGTGCATGCCTGTAATCCCAGTACTTTGGGAGGCCGAGGAAGGTGGATCACCTGAGGTCAGGAGTTCTCGACCAGCCTAACATGGTGAAACCCCGTCTCTACTAAATACAAAAAAATTAGCCAGGTGTGGTAGCACATGCTTGTAATCTGAGCTATTTGGGAGGCTGAGACAGGAGAATCATTTGTACCTGGGAGGCAGAGGTTGCAGTGAGCCGAGATCAGGCCATTGCACTCCACCTAGGCAACAAGGGCAAAATTCCATCTCCAAAAAAAAAAAAAGCAGGGCATCAAAAATTAGGCCTGCAGAAGTCTATATATATAGTTTTAATTATGCATCCCTTAGGCTCTCATTCAGTATTACTTTAATCTGTAATTCAAACAAGCTTTATTACCAGTTTTTAATCTTCCAGAATATCAGAATTAGCAAACTAGAAGAGTTGAAAAGGCTAACAATGATTGCAGGCTGCTTACCTTCTGAAAAGCAGAGCTTAGTGATGAAGGCAGAGCTTAGTGATGAAGGCAGAGCTTAGTGACTCCAGTTGGAAGCCATTTCATGAAGAGAACAGCATTGTAATGATTCTAAGTACTAATACTGTACTACTTTCATAGTGTAAACTTTTTTGGGGGTGGGGGATGGATCTTACTCTGTCGCCCAGGCTAGAGTGCAGTGGTACATCTTGGCTAACTACAACCTCCGCCTCCTGGGGTGAAGTGATTCTCCTGCCTCAGCTTCCCAAGTAGCTGGGATTATAGGCTCCCACCACCACTGGATTCAGTTAATTTTTTTTTGTATTTTTAATAGAGACAGTGTTTTACCATGTTGACCATGCTGGTCTTAAACTCCTAATCTCAAGTGATCCACCCACCTCAGCCTCCCAAAGTGCTGGGATTACAGGTGTGAGTCACCACACCCAGCCAACATTTTAGGATTGTATGTATTTAACAATTGCATTAATTTTAAACTGTTGTCTCAGATTTGGTATATACAATCCAATTTTTTGAAATCTTTTATCTTTTCCTTTCCCAGCTTGGCTGGTCCATTGGTCCGACTCATTTGATAAAACATTTACAGACAGTTCAACAAAACACGATTTATACTTGTGCAACTCCTTTACAAGTAAGTATTACAGTAAGACAGGGTAGAAGCATGGTCTTTTGGTGAAGATATTACTTTTATATTGCGTATTCGAATTGACTTTGTTCTTCTCTTTCTATCCTTCTGTTGAAGGGCCTTCTAATATAATGTGGAATTGGGGGAGCAGATACATATTCAGGATGGTTTGGGTTTTTTTTTTTTTTCTTAATACAAGTTTAGCTGTTTAAACATTGCTCACGGGAGTCTAAAGTGCTACAGATTCTGTGGAGGACAATGAGAAAACTAAGCAAAATTACAGATGTGCTTGCCCTATGAAAGCAATTCATCTTCTAAGAATTCACTCTAAAGCTTTTAGTCCATTCTTGCACTCAGGTAAAGAAATGCACGAGACTTAGTAATTTATAAAGAAAAGGGGTTTCCTTGGTTCATGGTTCTACAGGCTGTACAGAAAGCATAGTGGCTTCTGCTTCTGGAGAGGCCTCAGAAAACAAAATAATGGCAGAAGGCAAAGAGGAAGTAGGCATGTCTTACATGCTAAAGCAGGAGGCAGAGAAGTGGGGAAGTGCAACACACTTTTAAACAACCAGATCTCACAATAATTCACTATCACAAGAACAGCACCAAGGGGATGGTGCTAAACCATTCATGAGAAACCACCCCCATGATCCAATCACCTCCTACCAGGCCCCACCTCCAACATTGAAGATTACAATTGGACAAGAGATTTGGATGAAGACACAGATACAAACCATATCAAGCTATTATCTGCACCTGTAAGAAGTGATGTACTTAACCTGGCTATTCATTGCAGATGATTGAGGATAATCCGTTATCATCTACAGACAATTGGTTACATAAACCATGATCTATCCAGATATTGAAATGTTATATAACCATATTGGTTTCCTACTGGTGCTGTAACAAATTACCACAAACTTAGTGACTTAAAACAACACGAATTTATTAAGCCTACAGTTCTTCAGCTCAGAAATCTGAAATGGGTCTTAAAGGGCTAAAATGAAGGTGCTGGCATTGCTGTGTTCCTTCTGAAGGCTCTAGGAGAGACCCTGTTCCATTCTGTTTCCAGCTTCTAGAGGTTGCCTACATTCCTTGGCTCACAGTCACATTAATCCATCCTCTGCTTCCATCAACACATCTGCTCCTGTGACTTCAACCCTCCTACCTCCTTTTTTCCTTTATAAGCATCTTTGAGATAATATTAGGCCCACTGGATAATCTCCCCATCTGAAGATCCTAAATTCAAATCACATCTGCAAAGTTCCTTTCACCATGCAAGGTAACATATTTACAAGTTCTGGGTTTTAAGATCTAGATGTCATAGGGACCCATTATTCTGTCTACCAACTACTGAAGAGAAAAGAAACAATAAATAAAATGGAGAAATACTATAATTACTGTACTGAGATAAAAAAGATTTCCAAAATGTAAAGTAAAAAAAGAAAACAATGTAAATATTATTTAACATTTTATGTATTTATTATGGAAATAGGGATTTTTTTGCTATCATTCTGTGGATAATCAAAATGCTGAAAAAATGTTATTTTTCTAGAAGGCAGTTAAAGGGCAAAAAAGCCAGGCATGGTAACTCACGCCTGTAATCCAGCACTTTGGGAGGCTGAGGCGGGCCGATCACCTGAGGTCAGGAGTTTGAGACCAGTCTGCCCGACATGGTGAAACCCTGTCTCTACTAAAAATATAAAAATCAGCTGGGTGTGGTAGCAGGTGCCTGTAATCCCAGCTACTCAGGAGACTAAGGCAGGGGAATCGCTTGAACTCAGGAGGTGGAAGTTTCAGTGAGCCAAGATCATGCCACTGCACTCTAGCCTGGGCAACAGAATTAGACTCTGTCTCAAAGAAAAAGGGGACAAAAGAGCAAAATGTATTGGCTATAGTAAACATGATTTTTTGCTTTCTGTAAAAAATACCTTCTGAATCAGAAAAAAATCTTATTTAAAAGTTCTTTCTTTAGTGATTCTCTAACTCACAATAAAGCAAAGTTCTAACATTTGGTTTTATTATATGTTAAATTAATTTCATCCTCTCAAAATAAATCCATTCATTTTCAACAAATATTTACTGAGTACTGGAGATACAGCAGAAAAAAATTTCTGCCATCATGAAGCTTACAACCTAATTGGTGGGATACAAATAATAAATAAATATTTTAAAAATATATGAGCTATATGAAGAAGAAAGATAAAATAGGGAAGAGGAAGGATATAAAGCACCAGTGGGAGAATATACAGTGTTAAATAGGGTAATCTTTAAAAGCTTCCCTGGGAAGATAACATTTGAACAACTAACTGAAGGAGTTTAAGCAGCCACATGGTTACCTAGAGAGAACAGCAAGTGGAAAGGCCCAGTAGTAGATGGCCTTGCCAGCATGTTTATATCAGAGAACAGCACAGAGACTGTGTAGGGGTTCAGTCAGGGTGGTGGGAGAAATTATAAGAGAAAAATTTTAGAGAAATAGATGCAAATCTTCTTGGAAAGCCAGGAGGTTTTTTCAAAAGCCTTGGGAAGGAATGAGCCTAAGGCGGTGGTTCTTACCCAGAGGCAATTAGGCAGAAGTTGGTACAAAGAAATGTTAGGGAGTTCATCTAAAGAGCTTGTTTACTCATGTGGTCCTAAGACGAACCTTTGAACACCCATGGGTGCATGACTGCTCTCTTCTACTCAGGGGGTCAACAATGTTATTATCCACAAATGGTGTTTGCTTTAGGCCTCAGAACCTGGCCTTTAATCATTCCACAAATGTGTCGAACTCAAAGCCTCTGTCATTAAATCTATATGGAATAAATGCCTGCAGTGCCAGCTGGTAAGGGCCACAGCTGCTGACTCTTTACAGCACCCTCCTTGGTGTCTGAGTGGCCTGGACCCCCAAGCCCACACTTTTGCTGGATATCCATGTCTGACTGCATTTGTTCATCTGTTGCTGGGCCAGGGTCTGCAAGTCAGACCCGACAAGACAGGAATGGAATGATCAAGGGAGAAGAGTAGGAAAGCTAAGATCAGACAGGTAGCTGGGAGTCAAATGGAGCTGGGCCATGCACATCACTGTAAGGACAGAATGAGATAGGAAGTCACCAGAGAGTTTTGAGCTCAGGAGTGACTTGGTCTAGCTTGTTTTACAGACTCTTGACTGCTTCATTGAGGGAGAAAGCCGTTGCAGTGATCCAAGAGAGAAGGGCCACTGGATTGAACCAAGATGGGGATGGTGGAAGTGGTAAAAAGTGATTGGACTCTGAATATATAAGTAGAGCCAACATTATTTGTCAATAGGTTACATATGGGGTATTAGAAAAAGGAAGGATTCCAGGATGCTGTAGTTAGGATGGATGTTTCTGTCTCCTTTCACTTGGAATTTTCTAAGGCAGTCTCTCCTATAGTGAATGAACAAGTTGCCAAGAGAGAAAAAAAGATACAGCCAAGAATACATCTTTTTCTGAACCATCTTTCTCCCTTTCAACTAGGTGTTCTGTTTTGTTCTAGGATAACCATGTTTAGTTCCAGAAAACCACAGATTTCCAGACTAAGGCAATCCTTATTTTCCAAGATTTTTGTAGTACTGGAAAATTACTACTAATTCTGTTTTACTGCATTCTTTTGGCATAAAGTCTTCTCTGTGATCTTTCCCCTCTCTGTCTCCAGTCGTCTCTTGCCACACTGTCTCTCTTACCTGCCAGATCCTTAATGTCTTAGTTGGTCTGGGCTGCAGTAACAAATGGACTGGGTGGCTTATAAACAACAGAAATTTATTTCTCACCATTTGGCAGGTGGGCAAAGTCCAAGATCAAGGCACCAGTAGATTTGGTGTCTGGTGAGGACCTTCTTCTTCATGAATAGTACCTTTTGCTGTGTCCTCACATGGTAGAAGGAGCAAGCTAGCCCTCCTTTGTAAGGGCACTAATCCTGTTGCTGAGGGCTCTACCCATCTGCACTGATCACCTCCTAAAGGCCCCATTTCCTAATACCATCACCTTGGGGTTTAGGATTTTAATATACGAATATGGGAACAAACACGAACATTCAGTCCACTGCACTTAAAACATTGGCTTTTTCCTTGGCCCAGTTTGCTTTCCTGGCTCTTGAAGAAAGGTAGAGGAATTACTGTAGATGTTCCAGAAACTCACTTCTATCCCCTGTTACACTTTGACCACCTTCCTGGCAAATGAATGATTCCAGCAAAGATTTGCACACCTACGGGGAATAAGAAAGGCACATTTCTCCTTTACACAGTGGGTTAGCTTTCATTTCCACTCTGTCCCCAAAGGTAATGGTGAGAGGCTGACTACTCTGGTTGTTTTTCTGACTTAGATTTAGCAAGTCATTCTGCGACTCAACTTATTAAGAAAATGTTTTAACGTCTTTTTGTTTTCAAGCAAGCCATCTTTATGTAACAGCTCTTTTTCAATTTGAATTTTCATGACTCATTCTCAGTTCTTCACATGAGATTTAATCATTCAGGTATAACTGATTCCTCCATTAATTTATAGAGTTTAATATAGGTTCATAGGAATTCAACTATTATTTCCTGAGTGACTTCTTCTTTGCCAATAATTTTACTCAGGTCATCTTTATTTATTATACCAATAAACTAAGCAATAAATAACATTCCCATATTCCTTTTCATATTTTTTAATTCTAACAGGAAGCCTTGGCTCAAGCTTTCTGGATTGACATGAAGCGCATGGATGACCCAGAATGCTACTTCAATTCTTTGCCAAAAGAGTTAGAAGTAAAAAGAGATCGGATGGTACATTTACTTGAAAGTGTTGGCCTAAAACCCATAGTTCCTGATGGAGGATACTTCATCATCGCTGATGTGTCTTCACTAGGTTTGTAAAGGCTTTTATTATTTCAACTATGCAGAAATTTACAGACTATGTGAAATTATAGCAGAATTATGGAGCAAAGATTAGTATCAAAGCTACGGCAGCATCTTATCTGTGGAGAAGGATGGATTTTTGCAATGTCAGCATTTTCTATGATTATCTTTGCTTTTAGGTCTTTCACCTTAAATGTGACCATTGTTAAATGGTTATGGAGTCAGTGTTGTTCTAGTTAATCTATTAAACATAAGATTTGCTGTCACTCTGTTCTGGTGTGTAATTTAAAAACACAAGTGTGTGAAATAATATATACTCAGTGTTCATTTGAGTAAAATTGTAGTTTGCTTTTTACTTAACCAGAAAGTACTATTTCATTAGAAAAATAAGATACATAGAAATTTTGAAGCTATCAGGGAATATTTGCAATTTTAGAATGTATTGAAATAAAATAGAGGGAGAATAATATTTATTAAGGGTTCACTTTGTGCCATGTACTTAGAACACCCTTCAAAACATGTTTTTGAAGAAAACATTAGCTCCATTTTTGCAAGTAAGAAGATTTAGAAGTTTTAAATAACTTGCCTGAAGTCCCACAGCTAGATTCTAAATGGTTCTGTTTCCAAAAAGCAATGGTTTTTATATTACCTAAAGTTGTTACATGTAATTCCAACATGCCATACAAATTTAAAGTTAGAAGCATGATAATGTGTCATATATAACTTAACATTTCTTTGGAAAAAAAAAATTAATAAAAGTAAACTAAGTAATGGCAGTCTGCCATTACGGAGGCAGTCTGCCATAGCAGAGGCAGTCCACCATTACTGAGGCAGTTCTAACTATACCCCTATAAACAAAACCACAAGGAAGTTCACAGAACAGCTGGGCAGAGCCCACGGCAGCTAAGCAACGCTTCTGCTGGCAGACTGTGACTAGGCTACCTCTGTGCTGGTAAGGGCAGCTCTGAAAAAAGGCAGCAGCATGTCAGGAACTTATAAATAAAGCCTACCTTCCCAGGACAGAGCACCTGGGAAAAAAGAGAGTTATGAGTTCTGCTGCAGTAGACTTAAATGTACCTGCCCAGAAGCTCTTAACAGAACAAAACTCACAGCTCAGCACTTGAGCTCCTATAAGGGACAGACTGTCACCTGAAGCAGCTCCCTGGCCCCCATATATCCAAAGAGTCACCTCATAAAGGAGAGCTCAGGCTGACATATGGCGGGTATCCTTCTGGGACAAAGATAACAGAAGAAACTGGCGGCAACCCTTACTGTTCTTCAGCCACCACAGGTGATCCCTAGGCAAGCAGCATCTGTAGTGAACCTCCAGCAATCCTACAGAGAGGCCTGACTATTAGAAGGAAAACTAAAAAACAGAAAGAAAGAAATTCATTATCAACAAAAAAGACGTCCACTCAAAGTCACCAACTACAAAGACCATAGGTAGGTAAATCCACAAAAATAGGAAGAAACCAGTGCAAAAAGGATGAAAACACCCAAAACCAGAATGCCTCTCCTCCTCCAAGGGATCACAACTGATCACCAGCAAAGGAACAAAGCTGGATGGAGAATGAGTCTGATGAATTCACAGAATCAGGCTTCAGAAGGTGGGTAATAACAAATTTCTCTGAGCTAAAAGAATATGTTCTAACCCAATGCAGAGAAACTAAGAACCTTGAAAAAAGGTTTGACTAAATGCTAACAAGAATAAACAGTTTAGAGAAGAATATAAATGACTTAATGGAACTGAAAAACACAACACAAGAACTTCACAAAGCATACACAAGTTTCCATAGCTGAATCGACCAAGCAGAAGAAAGGATATCAGAGATTGAAGATGAACTTAATAAAGTAAAATGAGAAGGCAAGATTAGAAGAAAAAGAATGAAAAGAAATGAACAAAGCCTCCAAGAAATACGGGATTATGTGAAAAGACCTAATCTACATTTGATAAGTGTATCTGAATGTGATAGAGAGAATGAATCCAGGCTGCAAAACACTTCAGGATATTATCCAGGAGAACTTCCCCAACCTAGCAAGGCAGGCCAATATTCAAGTCCAGGAAATACAGAGAACACCACAAAGATATTCCTCAAGAAGAGCAACCCCAAGGCACATAATCATCAGATTCACCAGGGTTGAAATGAAGAAAAAATGCTAAAGACATCCAGAGAAAAAGGTCGGGTTACCCACAAAGGGAAGCCCATCAGACTCACAGCACATCTCTTAGCAGAAACCCTACAAGCTGGAAGAGAGTGGGGGCCAATATTCAACATCCTTAAAGAAAAGAACTTTCAACCTAGAATTCCATATCCAGCCAAACTAAGCTTTATATGTGAAGAAGAAATAAAAGACTTTATGAACAAGAAATTGCTGGGAGATTTCATCACCACCAGGCCTTCCTTACAAGAGCTCCTGAAAGGAACACTAAACACAGAAAGGAACAACCAGTACCAGCAACTCCAAAAACATACCAAATAATAAAAAGCATCAACAAATGAATAAACTGAGTCAACTAATGGGCAAAACAACCAGCTAGCATCAAAATGGCAGGATCAAATTCATATATAACAATATTAACCTTAAATGTAAATGGGCTAAATGCCCCAACAAAAAGACACAGACTGGCAAACTGGATAAAGAACCAAGACCCATCGATGTACTGTACCCAGGAAACTCATCTCACATGCACAAAGAACTAAAACAGATTTACAAGAAAAACAACAACAACCCATTCAAAAGTGGGCCAAGGACATGAACAGACACTTTTCAAAAGAAGACATATATGAGTCCAACAAACAGAGGAAAAAATGCTCGTCATCACTGGTCATTAGAGGAATGTAAATCAAAACCATATTGAGATACCATCTCATGCCAGTTAGAATGACGATACTTTAAATATCTGGAGACAACAGATGCTGGAGAGGATGTGGAGAAATAGGAACACTTTTACGCTGTTGGTGGGAGTGTAAATTAGTTCAGCCATTGTGGAAGACAGTGGTGATTCTTCTAGGACCTAGAAATAGAAATTCCATTTGACCTAGCAATCCCATTACTGGGTATATATCCAAAGGATTATAAATCATTCTATTATAAAGACACATGCACATGTAAGTTCATTGCAGCACTGTTTACAATAGTAAAGACCTAGGACCAACCCAAACACCCATCAATGATAGACTGGACAAGGAAAATGTGGCACATATACGCCATGAAATACTATGCAGCCATCAAAAATGATGAGTTTGTGGCCTTTGTAGGGACATGGATGAATCTGGAAACCATCATTCTCAGCAAACTGACACAGGAACAGAAAAACACACCACATGTTCTCACTCATAGGCGGGTGTTGAACGATGAGAACACATGGACACAGGGAGGGAAGCATCACACACTGGGGTCTGTTGGTGGGGAATAGGGGAGGAACAGCAGGGGTAGGGAGGTAGGGAAGGGATAATGGGGATAAATGTCAGATATAGGTGATGGGAGGATGGAGGTGGCAAGCCACCTTGCCATGTATGTACCTATGCATCAATCCTACATGTTTTGCACATGTATACCATAATCTGAATTATGATAAAATGCATATAAAAATAATAATTTAACTTCCTTATCTGTAAACAGAGGATTATAATTACCTCTCAGAATTGTGGTGACAACTAAATAAGATGATCATGTAACATGGTTAAACAATAGTAAGTGTTCAATAAGTTGCAGTATATTGTTAGCATTATTACTGGAAATTGTATGTTCTCCTTAAAACAGGAGGGAATGGAGGTTAAAATATCAGTTAAAAGGATATTAGGACTTTGTTTTAAAAATATAGGTGAAACTTTCTTCAGTGTCAAAGCTTTTACATGATTAATTTGAAAAGAACCACTAGTATTTAATGAATAAAAGAAAGAAGATATATGTCCCAATTTGTTTTGAACAATAAATTATAAAATTTCATTGATTACAGTAACCATCAACATTAGTTGCTTTAGGACATTCAAAAAGATTGAAGAGTACAAGTCAGTAGTTTTGAAACAATATGAAATGTAGATTGCAAAAACTGAATGCCAGAGATATATCTTGCCAAGACCTTAAAGCAAGATTGAGGCAAGAGAGAACAGGAGTATATATTTGACTTTTTCACAAATTTAAAAACAGTATAATATATGGAAGCAAAAATGAAAAATAAGGGTAGCATTTGGAAAATCTAAAGAGATATCCTGTATTTACAAATAAATAATAATATGATGAATTTATTCATTCAACAAATATGCATTTTGTTACTTATGTGCTAGACACTGACCTCGGGGTTGGGGATAAAATAGGTTACAAAACAGACACTTTACTTTTGTGGAACTTGTAGTCTAATGATTAGTTATGTGGAAATATAATCATTACTGATGAACATTCTATAAATTTAGTGGTTATTTCCTTAGTAATGATCATAGAATCTTATTTCTAAATGGAAAGACAGCACTCCTCTGCCCTTCACTTTTTCTACTCTTCCTGTGCTGAAAGCTGCATGTATAAGCACCCTGATGTATGTGTGAGCACTGCCTTATACCATCAGTAAAGCTCTGTGAATTCACTTCCCACCACACTGTATAGTGTGAGACTCCAGCGTATTCTGTGACTATGTTCTGAGAAAATTCTAAGCCAAGCTAATTTAAATAGGAGAAAATATTGAATCTTGATAGACTTAAGTGAAATACATGTTGCATCAGATGAAATTCATAGGCCACCTAATTGTGTGGTTTCAGATCCAGACCTCTCTGATATGAAGAATAATGAGCCTTATGACTATAAATTCGTGAAATGGATGACTAAACATAAGGTAATGCTTATTGTCCTTTGCAAGATTGTATTGTATTTTATAGTTAATTTATGAAGGAAACCTGCCTGTATGCTTTGAAATCAATCAAATGTAATGTTATATGATACTCTACCTGTGACTTTTAAAAGCATTTTTCTTTTTGGAAATTATTGTGACTATTTAAAAGTATCTAGTTGCCTCTAATATCTATAGTCCTAAAATTAATATTTGAAGTGTACATAGTTTTCTTATTATATTTTTCTATTTATTTTTCAGAAACTATCAGCCATCCCTGTTTCAGCATTCTGTAACTCAGAGACTAAATCACAGTTTGAGAAGTTTGTGCGATTTTGCTTCATTAAAGTAAGTCCCCTGCTCTATTGAAAACACATTTATAGTATCCTCATTTCAATTTTTAAAGCACTATTTTCTTCTGTTTCTAAAAATGATATGCTCATAACGCAGTTTTTAAATTCTGGCTTACAGCTGTAAAATTAACTGCTTACCAAAACAAATTCAACCCTTTTTGAAGGAAGACAACATAATACAGACCCCTTACCATGTCATATGACAATTTCCAGAATACAGTAAAAAATTACTAGACATAGAAAAACACAAGAAAATATGACCTGTAGTAAAGAAAAAAAGAAGTTAATAGAAATGGGCTTAAAGGTAACTCAGATCTAGAAATTAGCAGACAAGGACTTTAAAGCAAACATTTTAAGCATGTTTAAAAAATTAGAGGAAAACATGTTTATAATAAGTGAACAGAGAGATTTGAACTATTTTTTAAAAAAGGAACAAAATGGAAATTCAGAAACTTAAATGTATAATATCTGCTATAAGATACCTATGGGACTTAACAGAGTATTGAAGATGTCAGAAAAAAAAAAAAGAGGTTAACTTGAATACAGATCTATAGAAATTATTCAATCTGAAAAAAAGAGAAATATTTTTAAAAAGTGAGCAGAGCCTTAGCTTTATGAGACAATACCAAGTGATAATATATGTGTCATTGGAGAACCAAGAAAGAGACACTATGAGAGAAAACATATTTTAAGTAGTAACAGTCAAAATGTTCCCAAATTTGGTGAAAAGTAACTTATGTCTAAAAAGGTCAGTGAAATACAACAGGATAAATATTTTAAAAGCACAACTAGGCACATCATAAAATACTAAAAACAAAAGGTAAAGATAAGATATCAAAAGCAGCCAGAGGTCAGGTATAGTGGCTCATGTCTATAATCCAAACACATTGAGAAACTAAGGCAGAAGGACTGCTTGAGTCCAGGCGTTCAAGACCATCCTGTGAAACATAATGAGATCCTATCTCTATAAAAAAATTTTAATTAGCCAGGCTTGCTGGCACATGCCTGTGGTGCTCACTTCTCGGGAATTTATGGTACAAGTGAGACCAGGTTCCGGGGTGCAGGGGAGGCTCAGCTTGCTCCCCAATAGGATTGTGTTCTTCCAGGCTCTTTGTCCCTCATTCACCCAAGAATGGGAGAGAGGACTCCACCAAGCGCGGTGGCTCGTTTAAGGAAATATCAGACCCCAAAGAGTTTTGCAGAAAGTGACTTATTTAGGCAGAGAGCTGGAGAAAAAGGAGAAATAAAAGCAGCTTCCACAATGTCGTGGAAGGGGATCCAGATTTGGATCCAGATGAGGGAGAAGGGGACTTTTAATGTGGGAGAAATTCCTGCCTCATTCAAATTTTCTGTCCTATAAAAGGAATTCCTTTAAACTTCCGCTGGAGTGATTGACCTTTGATTTTTTTTACCACGTGTGTGAAAGTTAAAGACCTCTAAAATCCCGGGTGGAGATGTGGGTGTGGGTATGGCGCTGGGAAGTTCTTGCCTTTGAAACTGTGCCCCCTTGGGGAGCCGGAAAGAGTATAAATTCCCTCAGTCTCCCCTCTGAACAGGAAAGCCCAACTCCTATTGGGACACAGGGGGTTGATCACTCTTTAGCTACTTACTGCTGAAATGGGGCATAGAAGGGGCCCTGCAGTTGAGGTTTCCTCGAGAAGGGAGCCTTTCAGGGGTGCAGATTGATCCTGAGGTCCACAATAGAGCTCATAAGCCAAGGACATCCAGGGTTCCAGTTGCAGGATTATTTATGACCTGATGGTTCTAGAAGAAACGAATGTGGTAAGAAGGTTAAAGATTAAAAAAACCCAGAGGCCAACAAATATAGAATGGTTATAAACAGGACTAGGAAAGGATGGCCAAGACGGCCATCCACTATACTATTTCTTGAAGGTCTTTAGCCCTGTGTTCCATTGATTCCTGAGTTCTTTAACTTTGTTCAAAACAACACTGAATTGGTTTACAGAGTAGCAGCATTTCTTCCTAGAAAGAGAGGCTCCCTCTCTCTCTGCTGTTAGCAAATTTAGGGCCCTTTTACTTTGAAGAGCTATGGCAGCCAAAGAGTTAAGCTGTTTTGCACAGTGAGCTGCCTTTGCAGAGAGAATTAGCAACCGTTTTATGTTATTAATTAACTCTTGAGATACCTTATAGTAACTGAATAGAGGTAGTAACTTTTCTAATGCCAGCACCAAGTTTTCCACTATGGAAGGAACAATTGCAGTTTGAGAGAGAGCAAAGTTGAGAGTTATAGTCTTGTTAATGCCAGGATATAAATTAGACTCATGAGTCATTACTTTCCTGGGGATTTTTTGTAAGAGCAGATGTAGAGCCTCTAATGGTTCGCAGGTGTACCAAGGGTTGTCTCCTGGAACTTCAGGCTGTGGAGTGGAGGGCCTATGACTTTCTTCAGGAGGTGTCCAAGGCTTCAGCCCAGTGTAATGAATACATGAGTCAATTCCCACCACCTTAACTGCCGTTGGGGTAGACAGAATAACTGAAAATGGTCCTTCCCAAGATGGGCCTAGAGAGGAAGAGTCTGAGGGGAGAGATTTAACAAGCACCAAGTCTCCAGGGCAGAACAACTCTTTTCCTTTTTCCCTAGGGTGTCCTTCAGGTAAAGTTTTAAGAGCCTGATGGGACTTAGCCAAGAAGGTTATATCGTTTATTAGATCTGCTGTTTCCTTGTCTAATACAAGATTATTAGTAAGAAAGGGCTGTCTGTAAAACATCTCTTAGGGGCTGAGAGAAATGTTGGGAGACTGTTCGTCCTAGGACTTCCTAGACAGTTACAGATTTGGAGGAAAGCTGTTCAGGACAGAGGATTAATACTGAGAAGGCTATGCCAGTGTCCAAGAGGAGATTAACTTTCTGGCCTTCTATGGTCAGCTTTGCCTGGGGCTCTGTGAGGGTCATGGCTTGTGCTGGCACTTGCCCCAGGCACCCTCACTCCTGCAGTTGGGTCATCTGGTTAGACACCTCTGGCCCCAAGAACCTTCGTCCCCAGGGACAGTGTGCTCTCCAGTGATCCCCTTGGCACAGCAGACAAGGCCAAGGTGGTCCATTCCTCTGGGGACAATTTCTTATAAAATGTCCCTCCAGACCACACTGGTAGCAAGCTCTGCCAGACTGGTGGCTAACCTGAGCCTTTCCCTCATTTGAGCCCCTTGGGTCTGCCTGCCTGAAGGCCATGACTAAGGCTGCGGCTTTTCTCTGGTCTCTCCTGTTCCTTTCAGCCTGTTCCTCCTGGTCACTTGTAAAACACCGAGGTTCCCAGGTTTGGTTATGATTCTAGACTCTGTTCTGGCCCCAAGTTCAGCTTCTGGAGCTTCATCCTAATATCTGCTGCTGACTGCGTAATAAACTTGTCCTTTAATATTAACTGACCTTCATTGGAGTCTGGTGACAGGGGAGAATACTTTCTTTTTTTTTTTTTTTTTTTTTCAGTCTTTTTTTTTTTTTTTCTTTTTTTTTTTTTTTTATTGCATTTTAGGTTTTGGGGTACATGTGATGAACATGCAAGATTGTTGCATAGGTACACACATGGCAGTGTGCTTTGCTGCCTTCCGTCCCCTCACCTGTATCTGTCATTTCTCCCCATGCTATCTCTTCCCACCTCCCCACCCCCCCGCCCCTCCCCCATTTCCCCCCAACAGACCCCAGTGTGTAGTGCTCCCCTCCCTGTGTCCATGTGTTCTCATTGTTCAACACCCGCCTATGAGCGAGAATATACGGTGTTTGATTTTCTGCTCTTGTGTCAGTTTGCTGAGAATGATGGTTTCCAGGTTCATCCATGTCCCTATAAAGGACGTGAACTCATCGTTTTTGATGGCTGCATAATATTCCATGGTGTATATGTACCACATTTTCCCTATCCAGTCTATCATCATTGGGCATTTGGGTTGGTTCCAGGTCTTTGCTATTGTAAACAGTGCTGCAATGAACATTCGTGTGCACGTGTCCTTGTAGTAGAATGATTTATAATCCTTTGGATATATACCCAGTAATGGGATTGCTGGGTCAAATGGGATTTCTATTTTTAAGTCCTTGAGGAATCGCCACACTGTCTTCCACAATGGTTGAATTAATTTACATTCCCACCAACAGTGTAAAAGTGTTCCTATTTCTCCACATCCTCTCCAGCATCTGTTGTTTCCCGATTTTTTAATGATCGCCATTCTAACTGGTGTGAGATGGTATCTCAATGTGGTTTTGATTTGCATTTCTCTGATGACCAGTGATGATGAGCATTTTTTCATATGTTTGTTGGCCTCCTGTATGTCTTCTTTTGTAAAGTATCTGTTCATATCCTTTGCCCATTTTTGAATGGGCTTGTTTGTTTTTTTCTTGTAGATCTGCTTTAGTTCTTTGTAAATTCTGGATATCAGCCCCTTGTCAGATGGGTAGACTGCAAAAATTTTTTCCCATTCTGTTGGTTGCCGATTCACTCTACTGACTGTTTCTTTTGCCGTGCAGAAGCTGTGGAGTTTGATTAGGTCCCATTTGTCTATTTTGGCTTTTGTTGCCATTGCTTTTGGCGTTTTGGTCATGAAGTCCTTGCCTACACCTATGTCCTGAATGGTTTTGCCTAGATTTTCTTCTAAGGTTTTTATGGTATTAGGTCTGATGTTTAAGTCTTTAATCCATCTGGAGTTAATTTTGGTGTAAGGTGTCAGGAAGGGGTCCTGTTTCTGCTTTCTGCACATGGCTAGCCAGTTTTCCCAACACCATTTATTAAACAGGGAGTCCTTTCCCCATTGCTTGTTTTTGTCAGGTTTGTCGAAGATCAGATGGTTGTGGGTATGTTGTATTTCCTGTGAGGCCTCTGTTCTGTTCCATTGGTCTATATCTCTGTTTTGGTACCAGTACCATGCTGTTTTGATTACTGTAGCCTTGTAGTATAGTTTGAAGTCCGGTAGTGTGATGCCTCCCGCTTTGTTCTTTTTGCTTAGAATTGACTTGGCTATGCGGGCTCTCTTTTGGTTCCATATGAAGTTT